GATGTGGCCAATTTGATCATCTTGGCTTCTAGGGAAAGTTCAGGCTTGATCTGTTCTAGAACCCATTTGTTTGGCTTTTTGGGTGTCCACAGTATCCTCAGTACTCTTTTCCAGCACCACATCTCAAATGAATTGAATTTGTTAATTGCAGTACAGATTGCCAATCATAATTCCTTTATTCAGATGCATTTGAGAAATGAATGGTGCCCAGTTCTGATGAGAGCAGATGTCTGGCCATGGATAGAACTTTCTAATCAAACTTTGCACACCAGTTGAAGTGAAATGGCTATATTTGGAACGAGGTATTTGGAAAATGCCAGGGCTTGGAAAGGCAAGGAACTCATGCTAGGAAACGGTAAACAGTTCTGCAATGCAGAATTAAGCGGAAACTAAAACAAATTAAACAAATTAAAAGTCACTTAAAAGCAAGTATACAGTACACATAAACCACAGTTCAAAATCGAGTGTGCAAATTAAAAAGCATATTTTTATAGTGAACTAAATGAAATGAAAGGGAGAAAGAAATAAATTTGGCAGGAAGCCAAGTGAAAGAAATCTTACCCTAGGAGTAAAGAAACTCACATGCAATTAGCACTCACCTAACTATTTAAAACTTTGGAGGTTAGAATTTGGGGTGGAGGAAACACTGCAAGTATAGGTGTTAGATACATTGACAGAATCCAATGGAAGCCTTATATAGCTGGTTCCCAGAAGCCTCAGCAATGGCATACCCTCCCAAATGTTACTCATAAATTAATTTTACATAATTTCAAGTGGTGAAATGAAAATCTGGTTGTGATTTTAAATTTAATTTAAAAAAAACCTGGGGCCTCTCCTTTTTCCTCCCATTGAGCCTTACCCAACTCACACCATCTCATCAGTGTTTTTTAAAACCACACAGGCAAACGCCACAGCCCATTTCTGCCAAAAGGCAGTTGCTTGGGGAGTAGTGGTGTCACTCTCCTTTTGGGTCACCTGATGCAGCTCGCATCCCCTGCACTCCCCCTAGCAATGCCCCTGGGGGCAAGAGTGGAGTGGAGTTTTGCTCTTCAGTACAGGCACAGACAAAAGCAAACTTTCCTACTTGTGTGTTCTTGGCATTAGTAACTTTTGCAGTCCTGATGATACTCTGATGTTGCTTGGCCATATGTGTCCTGGTTTTCAACTGTGAAATCTTTCAAGGTATGCAATGATTCATCCAGCCAACCTTCCTTTGATTGCTCAATCTGCACCCTCGCTTTGCTGTATTGTGTATGACCCCTCCAGGGAAGAAACCATCAAAGCCCTCAAAACTGATGGATCTGAGCTGGGCTCCTCCTTAAAGTGGCTCAGCTACCCATTGAGACTGGATTCAAGGCCTTCTGAAACTGCTCTGCAATACCCATCTTCAATGGAATCTTATCGTGACTCAGGCAAAGGCATCACTATATGCACAGATATGTGAAACTGCAGGTAATGGCAGAAAGTCTCTGCTGTGTAAAAGGTTCTGTTCTTGATCCTGGAGAATCAAGAGCTCCTTCTGTACCACAAAGACTCTCCATTGGTCTCTTGGTCATGCACCCAAAAAAGCAGATAAATAAATAATTGTGAAAAGCAAGA